AGTAAATGCTTCTTTTACTTTAACTTTAAACTTTAAAGTACTAAAAACTTTAAAACTTTAGTCATCAAAATGTAATTGAAATTGGCCATTGGTCGGCATTCCGGGAAGGTTTGACCAAGAATGCCGAGACTAAAAAATCAAAGCTTAGAGTGGTAAAATGTACCTTCCTGAACTCGTGTGGGGACGGTGGAGTAGTGGTATAGTAGTCGAAACGAAACACATTGGTCATGAAATCAAGGGTTCGAATACGGACAAAAAAATTTCGGCAGTGGCGGAAGAGAGAAGGAAGAGAGTAATCGGCATTCCCGGAGAAGACTTCTGAGACAGGTTTCACAGTTCGGCGTTCGTGGAAGGATAATGCCTGTCGGCGGTCGTGGAAGCGGCATTCCAAGTACTAACCCCGGCAGAGGACCAAGACCGAGTCTCTCGTCCAGGCATTCCATTCGATGAATCGTGGAATGATTCACCCGATGAATCTCGACATTCGCGCAACCTCTTCGAAAGAGGCTTTCTGTCCTGCTTCCCCCGATGAGCGGACCCAAGTGGAAATCGCGGAAAGGTGACTCTACGGACACTGACCATAAGTCTCACCATGGTGAAACATGAGATACGCCGAAAATTCAGAGCGCAATAATTTACATTTTGTCGACTCAATTTTTTGGCACGTGGCATGTGGCCTTGACGATTTCAAACAAAACGATTGAAGGAAATTTGTAGAAAATGAAACAAGTCCAAATAATAGATTTCGACTTCCAGATTGAATCGATGACGATTCGAGGGGAGTTTCGACGTTACTGCGAAATTAAATTTACCATAAATGAAAATAACTTTTTAAAAAATAGCATATACTCCCAGGAACATTAGAGGACTTGAGTCAACTTTACTCAGACATGTTACGGACGGTGCCTACCCACATGAAATACAAGTGAAGCAGACGCTCACTGAAGTTGATTGTGTCGAAACGTGCAATGAGTTCGATGCAGGAAGATTGAAGCAGTTAAGTTCTGTGGACTCTCATGATCCGCTTAATGTTTACTGCAATGTCAGGGCTTGCATACATTATGTTTCCTGCACTTTGAAATATATTCACTTATGTACCCAAGTAACACCAGGACGTTCAACCTGTGTTTAAAGAGGTTTAGGACGTCCAAAGTTCATGGGTGAGCAGCTTTTGGGCACTCAGTTGAGGTCGATTCGATCACCGGAGCGTGACTTTTTTTTTAAGAACATTCGTTGAACGTTACAGAGACGTTTCCTTTAACACATTCGCATCCAAGAACTTTTCGACCCATTTGACCTAAAATTCTGCTGCCTTAGCCTTACACTCGAGGCCTACAAGCCTCTGCCTGGAAGGCAGAGGCTTGCTATGCCATGGGATCGACGGAAGGACATGGGACGAGACGTACCAGTAGGCTTGTGGTTCGGGATAGGGTCAGCATGGATGTGCTATCCATCAGACAGTGGCTCGTACAAAAGGTCGGCGTGAGATGGCGCCAAAGTAGCCGTTATATCGAGTCAATGCTTGATACAGCTGGAATTAATCCCCAATACTTTCCACACAGCGCCCGAACTTCCCCCACATGCACCACTGTGAAAGACATTTAAATTCTTCAAGAAATCGGTCTGAAGAGGTAACACAATTCAAGGAGTCTATGGAAAACTCTGGCTCGGAGGATGGAAGGAGAATGTTCCGATTTTCAGATTGAGGTAAAAGGTGGAAAGTTTCATTACAGTGAGCGCATGGAATGCGGTAAATACTCCCATGAAAAGCTAACTTTGTGTGGGCGTATGTAACCTCTGTAATGGAGGTATTATGGTATGATGGAAGGTATGATGGAAGTGCATAAACTCACCGTTCAGACACGCTATTCTGAAGAGAAACTTGATGATTCGAATGAAAGTCAGTAGATTCGTGCCTGATAAGTGATCTAAACCCGGCACGAAAGAATGGGAATATTATGTTCCTCTGGGTGGGGAGGCAGTACTTCCTATACCAATCAGCTACGATGATGGTACCTGGTACTTGTTACGGGAGCAGGGCTGTATTTGGGCTAAATGCAGTTGAAGTGATGAGAAGGTCGTTTTCATCATGTTGATTGTTTCTTGGATGAATTCTCAATGAGAAGGCAAATTTGAAACATTTGGGTGCTGTTTGGGAATATTTAATTCACGTCTTTCATGAACGTTTAGAGAACGCATAATTTGAACTGGTTTTGTTCGCTGTGGACTTTAGACATTGAACGTTCAGATGCTCCTTGGGAACCTTTCCCATACGTTTACCATTGATATCTAAACTTCAAACTGGTCTCGGAGAATCTAGCATGTCTATCTGAGGGTTGCAAGAAACGAGGAAACTTTGAATTTAAAAAAAATTATCAGACCTACTTAAATCTTTCGGCTTCTGCTGTGAAATTTTGCCGGAAGACTACTTGTCTGGTTGTTGAAATTTCGAAAATTGTTCAGCCCAGGAAAGCGGAAGCAGAAAAAGGGAACGTCGACCTCACGGCCGGGGAATTCTGCGGGCAATTTTTCAATCGACAAAATGGACCTAATAAACGCCCTGGATCCTACCTCGATTGTGGACCATGCCTGCCAGGGTCTGTCTTCACGAATTAACATATGAGTAATTATTAATGCAAAGTTTTTTAATTTATATCGAGCCCGCATGTCATAAGTTTAAATAAATCGTGAAAATGTCTTGATCCAAAATTATTTAATTGATTACAATAACCTCCTTATACAGTATTACATTTTCACGAGACGGAGTGTTTTCAATTACACTTAATGAAGCAGATGACATTACGCTTTCTTCCTCTTGTAGGTATTTTTCGGAGCACTGGAGCGGCGAAAGGGAATCTGAGACCTGCTTGAAGGAATCAACTGGATTCATGGCGATTTGGAAGGTCGTTGTCATTGCGGTTGCGGTTTCGGCCGTTCTCGCCCTGACTTTTTGGTGGTTCAGTGAGTTTTGTCATCAGATCCATGTCCGTTATTGTTATTTTCTGGGTTACGATGGGAGAGATCATGCAGCTTTTCTTCAGTGTGGATGCAGTGAAAGTGAGATTGCGTTTGGATTCGTTTCACGGGCAACTAATGTTAGAAAATGATTTCGTCGAGTACATTATCGGAATAATTTCTATCATCAAACAAGTAACGTCTAAATAAATGATCATAAGCTAACATTAATGCAATAACGGTGAGGCTCGCCCAGTGCTAATGAACATCAATTGCTGTTTAATAAATCTTTATTTGAGCACGAAGTCAATGATGATTTTGAAAGACACAAGGCCTTTGAGTTGGCTGCCTTCAACTCTTCCAGGTCCAGAACACTCGTCGTCTGCTTGTGCTCTGTAGGTTTACATTCGCAGGTGTGCAGAAAGATGTCAAGAAGGATGCATACGACCGCAGCCCTTGGCCTTCCCGTGCTTTAAGCCGCGATAATATGCGATCTGCTTGCAGGGAAAAGGCGGAGGAAGAAGCGCGAGGAGCGAGGCGTGGAGCGGAAGCGCCAGGACACGGAGCGTGCCCTCCTCGATTCCGAGAGCCCCGACTCCTCACCGAGCCAAACGCGTCAAGGCGAGTATTGGATCTTGGGGAGCTTATCTTCCCTTCTAATCCCCTCTATGACTTTTTATTAACACAGGGAACGATCCTTACCGACATAATTTTTTTTCGGGAAAGGGTAGAAAGTTGGCTAAAAGTTTGCTTTTGAGTTTACGTTGTGGCCTGAAATTGTTTCATCATTTGCTCTTGGGACGCTTCAGTATCAGATTTCTATGCAATCCGAAAATGTTCTGCAATTTCAGAGGTTTAACTCGGTCCTCAAACCAGAAAAATACTCCCTCCCCTCTGCGCATGTAAAATTTTCCTCTTGGCTACTTTCAGGTAAAGAGAGAGACGGCTTCACGTATACGTCGACTTTGGAGCAACGGATGAAGTTCCCCTCACAGCCGCACGTGACCGCCATCGAAAAGGCGTGGTCGAAACTGTTGGAGTTCATGGACGTGGTGAACGTGGAAAACCGTCTGATCGAGAAGGGCGTGCTGACGCTGCCTGAGCGGGAGAGACTCAGCGCGGAGCGCGATCTTCAGAAGCGGAGGAGTCGATTGCTTCACATCATCGAGAAGCGAGATTCCGGGGACTTTCAACACTTTCTGACGGCTCTCGGCGAGGCTAAGCAGCCTCACCTGGAAAATAATCTAAAGGAGAATTACAATCCGGTGCGTATCTAAATGCGGAACGTTCACTAAACCGAAAGAGTTATGAAACGCTTGGAATGTCGACGAATCGAATGGGCGACGCTCGAAATATCGAGGAAATTTAGACGAAATCATGTTTCGTCGAAGCGAAATATTTTCGGTGGTTCTCTGCGCGCTTTAAGCTACTTGGAAAAATAGAAACTTTGGGATCGCATTTAATAGCACGACCGAGGTAATAAACGATTTCGTCATGTCTAAAAGTCTAGGATATGCTACATATCTTTCAGATGGAGAAACGATTATCAAAAGAGACTTCTCAAATGAGACAATATGTAACGAAACCCATAAGACACATGTGATTCACAGAGTTTTCTCATTCCTGTCAATCTTATTATTTTCTCCCTGAATGTGGCCTGTATCCAATATGGAAACGTACTCTCTCGCTAGTTTTTTTTTCTGGATCTGTGATAAGAAGGCGCAGAAATGCTTGTTTTCCGAACAATGACGGCGCACAATATACATTTTGTTGCCAATTGAAGAAAATAAATGTCTAGATGAAGAAATTGAAACTGCTTATGGTAAACTTTTCCACACGATAGGATAAGATGGGGTGAAATGAGACAGGGTTACAATATTTGGATATACCTCCAAGGGGGGGGGGGGGAGACACCCCCCCCCCTTTTCCTGCTGCTAACAAGCGATACCTGTACGCAATACTTTGCATAATGCTCTCAGCATTATATGCTGAGAGCATTTCCGACATCCTGGGGAGCCTCGAAAAATTGAAAGGCTGGAAGGGAATTTGCATATACACTGGTCAACATTTGAAGTGGATCACTATTATTATCCTTATTTACTTTTCTTCCATGTAAGCTATGAGTCTAACTCCTATTGAAATCTTAGCCCGATCTTCTTAGGCGTATTATGAAACAATGTTTTGGCCCTTGCCTTAAAGGGATAAGGGAAACTTTCGCAAAATCTGTTCACCTTGAATAACGAAGGACACTCATAGTTAGCATTTTGACTTATCCAGTGTGTGCATTCAGTATCCTTGCTTTGCCCATTGCTCAGAACTTCGTGTCAGTGCTCAGGGATGTCTCTCCAGCGCCTAAATGTTGAGCAGTTGGGTCGTGCTGTGGGTTTACTAGAAACGGGCCTATCACAAAGAAGAGTTGCTTATGCTTTAAATGTATCGCAGAGTGTTGTGTCGAGAGCTTGGAACCGCTACCTAGAGACGGGTACTGTACAGTTCAGACATGGTGGAGGCAGACAAAGAAGAACTACCCCAGCCCAAGACCGATACTTGATTTTGACAGCCAACCGAGACCGATCTACCACGGCAAGATCTTTACAAGGACAGTTTTACAGAGCGACGGGGTTGCAAGTATCGACCCAAACCATTCGTAGAAGACTTCATGAAGGTGGTCTCAGGTCAAGAAGACCTGCCCGTCATCCACCGCTGACTGGGCGGCATCGTGCAGCTCGTTTAACGTGGGCCAGAGAACACTTGAATTGGGAACTTGATCGTTGGCAAAACTGCTTGTTTTGTGATGAGTCAAAATTTGTTCTTCGGCATGACAGTGGACGCTATCGAGTCTGGAGAGAGCAAGGTATGCGATATAATCCTGCTCTTATGGTCCCACGACACATGCATGGTGGAGGCTCAGTAACAGTCTGGGGTGGCGTTTGCTTTGATGGCCGCACAGAGCTAGTAATGTTCACAAATGTGACTGTAACAGCTCAACGATACCTGAATGATATCCTTCGTCCTATTGTGGCACCGTTTGCTGAAAGAGTAGGTTCAAATTTTTTGCTAGTGGATGACAACGCACGTCCTCACAGAGCCAGGATAGTAAACAATTTCTTGGATGAAGCGGGTTTGCATAGGATGAACTGGCCAGCACTGTCTCCTGATCTCAACCCAATCGAGCATATCTGGGATTTGCTCCAAAGACGTCTCGACAACCGCCCCCACGAACCACAGTCCATAAACGACTTGAGTAGAGCACTTCTTCAAGAATGGGATGCTATACCTCAGGAGGCCATCCAAAATGTAATTAGCAGCATGAGAAGGCGATGTGATGCTGTGATTCGGGCAAGAGGGGGTCCGACAAGGTACTAAGATTGCAATATTTCTTGAAATTCTCCGTGCAACCAAGAAAATAAAGTGGGCGGCTGATGTGCCTTAGTGACAGGAGTTGGAAAAAGTTATTCTTTTGGTAACCTAAAAGGTTAAACTGAGTAATTCTTTTTGTGTTTGTATCTCTAAAGAATATTCTGTAATAAATACTTGCAAAAAACTCAATAAGTTTCCATAGCACGATAAACTCATGACCTACCCAAGTGATCCACTTCAATCGTTGAGCAGTGTATTTTGGAAAAATCGTTTTTTAAGCTTCGCATTGAAAGAGGATTCTGACGACCATTTCCTTTCATAGCGAGAAATGGTGTATTCGTAGAGAGACCGGTATTCCAATATTAGAGATCATGCAAATTGCGCTCTTTAATGAGAGTGTTGGACCGATTTCCAGCTTCTCGAACACTCGACACACTTCTGAAATCTGGTAACACCCTCCTGATACCTTTAAAAAATATGTAAGTTGAGACAGGTATTGAAAGCACCAAATTCATACCATTAAAAAACATGTTTATCGCTCGACAAATGCTGTTTTGGACTATCTAAATTCACGGGGTTGAATTTGGATCAGGACTTAGTCCACTACGGCAACTCTTTGGGTAGGGGTCCATCAAATGCATTAGCTTCAAGAAATGACGATGTTCAGGATCTTCTGCTGAGTTTGGGATAGAAAGATTCGGACAAAGGCGGTATTTGTTCGATCCAAAATCGAAGCCGTCTTTCCTCAGAAGTGAAGGGAATATATCAAAAGTTGTGTTTCGATTCAAATTACTTCAAGTAGAAGATTTTAAGGTTCGTACATGGAGCGCATTCTTGACCCTTTCCAAAGCTTCTTCAGTTCTTTCACTGGAGGAAATGCGCAATTTTCGCAGAACGTGGACTCGGGATTGCACAACTATCACGGAAAGGAGTGAAATTCGCATATTTAACACAGGAGATGACAGGTTGTGGACTATGGACCCAGCTTAAGCCTCGACGATCGTCTCCTAATGCAGATGCGGAAGTTCACAGTCTCTAGAAATACAAGGGGTTTCTCCGCCTTGTTTGTGTGGAAATTGTGCCAAAAAATCGCCTTGAATGACTAAAAATAAATCTGGCAAGACAGGAGAACACGCCTAACGTATGGATTAAAATGACATAGCCTCGTAGGCCCAACGCGCGAGGCCATGAGAACTTGGGGATCCTTTTAGAAGACACTCCCTGTGTTTAAAAAAATTGGCTTTTGACATGGATACTTGAAGAAAGGGTGAAGTTGGTCCCATCGTGTTAACCACGTGATTGAAAAAGGCGTGCTTCTGCTCCCAGAACGGGTGGAACACAAAGCAGAAATAATAATAATAAGTTTGGTGGGACAGACAGGATTCCCATGCCTTCCAAGCCCTTCCAAGTTTTACCAGCCTTGAGGCTCTAATCCAAGCACAGCGACTTCACCAGGCGAAGAAATTTCTTACCAAAGAACAATAGCACCAGCGAGTTATTTTGCTGTGGTCAGGGCTTTCCACCATTTAAATGTTATCGCTTAAACGGTACTCGAGTCCAGGTGCTTCAATGCAACTCTTCGTGTAATGCTGAATCCATTGTCGAAACGCAGTTTAAAATATTTGATGATGTGAGATTCCTTTCGCTTTCTCTTCGGATATCCTCGGTACGAGGCTTTCAGGAAGGTCGAAGAATGTCTGCAACAAGGGCCAAGGAGTCCTATCTTGAAAGCGTATTCTGAGATCGATAGTCGTTTGCATGGTTGTTGGTTGAATGTACATCATTTGCGAAATGTGTTTCGACGAAGCACGAGAATAAGGATAAGCCAGCGAAACAAATGTATTCTAGAGAATTCACGTACGACACATCAATCAGAGACACCGACTCGATTGAGAAAGCGTTAAGCCTGAACCTGAAAAGGAAAAATGTGAATTCGATCGCGTCTCCGTAGAAAGCCATGTTCGAACTGACCTCCGAGCGGCTCAAGTGCAGGCGACCACGCACTGGAATCCCTTCGCGCTCAGAGAGCGACTGAAGAAGGCGATGGAGAGCCACGTTCCCACGTTCACCCCGGATTGGAGCTCCGTCGAATTCCCGCACACCCTAGGAAATGGGTCGGACTTCAGTTATGGGAAACGTTATCGACCCTCTCTGTGTCCAGGTTTGTGCTCTTTTAAGTCATCGACTTTCAAAAATCGCGAAAGTGGTTAAAAGGAGTAATAAAATAAGATAGCGCACGCAAAGACTCGCTTCGGTCAAATTTGACCTTGATTTTGTTATGGGCGAGTGACAACTTCGAGATGAATTTCCACACCGTCACTCATGAAAAAAAATCAAGAAAAGATTTGCAGCGTTTGGATTTGGAAAGAAAAACCCGGGCTTACAGATCCAGCTAGGGATCCTTTTAAATTTTAAAGATCTGAAGATTTTCCCGTCGGACGAGTCTCCTCCTCGACGGCATGGCCGCCATGCGACGACTCCGTCTGTCGTTCCGTCGTCTGTTCGGCTCGCGATGCTCAAGGGCCCCCCGTTAGTGAATAAAAATTCCACGTCGCAGCCATTCGGTAGGCGACGAAACACCATATCTAAAAATCCATCCGAGAGATCGCCGCAGCTCTCGCACCTAGTAGCGCTTTAACATAACTTGCCTCATATTTGAGTATGGTGAAGAAAAGCAGAGCGCAGACGAGGCATCTTAAAACTCGCTTCGCGGAAGAAAATGGAATAGCATCCCTTACGGAAATGTCCTATAGGAAACCTATAGACTTTCCTATAGGTTTTTGAAACATGAAAAACCTTTGGATCCTATAGGATCCCTATAGGGTCTCATAGGACTCCTGACCTATAGGATTCGGGGAGGATTTTTTGGGTTTCGAAACCCAGGCATTACGACAGAAAAGGCGGCCGGGGTTAATATTGGCCAGCGTTTTGGAGTAAATATTTTACCGATTGGGGGCTTTCCCGTGGTAGGGAAACTTGCATTTTTTATACCGGTCTTATCCAGGTCTGCCCCAGCCAACATATCTCGCTGGATTGCGCATCCACTTCCTTCGGTAGAGAGAAGTACCATTCTTCTCTCGACCTAAGGAAATAGAAGACAGAACCTGCAAGCACGTCTCTTTCCTAGAACTCCAATAGAGTTTATTTCATCGCGTACGCGGTTTTCAAAGGGAATATGGGCATATTTCTTGCCTGGACACCAGGATTCTATCTGGAAGATGGGGATGACAAATAAGGAAGTGTCCAAGTTTATTGATTGCTACAATGAGGCAATGGGCGACATTTGGGGATGTACAAAACTCTCTTGTGAGAGATGATTCCATGGGTAAG